GATGCCATATGTATACTAGATACACTATTATCATCACCTTGATTAGGATCAATACCATATTGATGGATGAGTAGTTGAAGGATCTCAATGTGTCCACCGTATGATGCAGAGTGTACTGGAGTCCAACCATGAAGACCACGATGATACGTATTGTAGCCAAACTCATTAAGAAGCCATTGTACTTCATCTTTTAATCCTCTCCAAGCTGCTTCATGTAATGGTGTACTAGTATTCTCATACCACAATGGATCACATGCGTCTAAAAAGAGCATAATAATAAGCTGGCTATACACTGGCTAATGCTACATCAAAGCAACATGTCATCATGTTATGTTACATATACATAGTTACATGCATGTATTGAATGGTCATTTGTTTACTTACTTATATCAGCTGATGAGTGCTTAACCTCTTTTATTAAGAACTATAAAATTAGAAATAATATTAATTTATATCGTATAGCTGGTAATTTTGAAGGGGTAAAATTTTGACAAATTGCTAATTATTTTTGATGATTGGTGGGTTTTAATTTGGCAAATTTGAGGTCATGTGTCATTGAGCATGCACAAAATGGTTCAAAATAATGGGTTTAATTTGGGCGAATGGCTATCAAAGCACCAAATTTACCAAAATTTTTCTCTGTAAAATTATCAGCTACATGTGTATGTGGTATTATTACATATACATGTAATTGACAAACCTCTTTTAGATCATATGTTACATCATTACATGTCAATTCAGTGATACCAATGCTAGCTAACTGTTGTTGTAGCTTTGTAGTTAGAGGAAATAATTGAAAGTAAAGATAGTCAGGAATGAGATATTCTAGTATCACGGAACCAGGACGAACTCGAAGAAAATATATATTATAATGAGGAATGTCACATTCTTTTGGTATTGCACTACGGAAGAAGAAAAGGTCATCCAGTGTGTAGTCAGAATGATCAACTTTAGCAATCATTACTCGTGTACCAGGAGAAACATCTTTTACACCAAACTGCATAGCATCAACATCTTTCAATAGTCCACCACTGTTGATAAAATAATCCTTTAATTTTTCTTCATATTCTGACCAAGTTCTTTTCAATGTACAATTGTCACTCAGGAACACGCGAGCTAGTCTGACTATTAGTTCATAGTTGAACCATGATATATACTTGTCTTGTAAGGTTATGAAAAGATTCTTAATAGTTTTAATGTTACTGAACTCTTCCCTAACTGCTTGTGCTGCAATTTGACTATCCCTCAATGGACCCAGCAGCATATGAACACGCATCTCAAGGTAATCAATGATTTTGGGAAGAAGCTCTGGTTTGAAGGATTCTTTTGTCAGTTGTAATGCATCAGCAAAATCATCCTTCAGCTCAGATATTTTTTTCACCAAAGGAAAATTTTTTTCAAGATGACTTGGCTGACTGGCATAAACAGCAGAGTCTAAAAAAGCAGGAAAATATAATTTTTTATTAAGCAATAAACACAAAATTCTGGGCACATTAATAGTACATTCCAATTAGATTATTGTATAGCGGGTAGTTTTTGTGGCGCTTATTTTCTTGGTTTCCGTGGTTTTGGGGCTTCTCACAAATATTAAACCCACAAAATCATTAAAATGCCATCCCTTACAGGCTGTGTCAATTGTCAACCATGAAAATTAAACCACAAATTTCCCGACTAGGAGCAAACCATGAAATATTAGACCCACAAAAATAACCTGCTATACAGTAATTTTTTTCCCGTCCCACCCACACATGCCTGTGGCATCATTTGTAGTGGCCTAACGGCCTTTGACAGAATTGCTATTTACTTGTTGATTTATTTGATTTCCCAGGTGACATTGCTTCTTCAATATCTTTTCTAGCAGCTGGTAGTGAACGTAAATGTTCATTATCACTTGAATTGCCTCCTCCTACAAATAATAATATTATCCCAAAATAATTTGGTACAAATTAGATACATGGAAGTATACCTGTTGACGTAGGAGTAGCTCCTCCAGTATTAGCTGGTAGAGGATGTTCACGAGCTATCTTATCAGCTAAAGCTGGATCACCACCTCCTTCTTTAACAGCTACACACACCATTCTCCAGCAAGGGGGGCCATAACGCTCATAATCATAATCTTTCTTTAGCCAATACTCTAGAACTTTCTGCAGGCAAGATACTGCATTTCCATGAGAGGTAGCTTCTATGATATTAATGTCAGCTAATCTCAATCGTAAAGAAATGGCGAATGACTTCCAACTAGCAGAAATAGACTTCACTTCATCATACACTGAGTGATACTCATCAATACCTGAAATACTCTTTATTAAATGTCAAATATACACACAAACTCACTTAGTTCTTTATTGCAAACGTCCATAAAAGAATCAGAGGAAGAAGGGCTTGTTGCCATTGTGTTGAAGGGAAGGAAGCCTAAATTGTAACACCCACGCAAAACTACGAGCCCCANCCCANCCACTACTATAGACCTCTTTGGGTGAGAATGAATTACGTCAAAAAATGATAGAGTAGGTGTGGCTATTATGAGACACCTTAAAGTTTTCTTCTATTTTTTGTTTCCTGGTGAATGCTTAAACTTCTTTTGTTGAAAAATATCAAAGACATATCTACTCTTGCTATGCACATTAAAAGCTAAAATTTTTCTACTTGCCTTTTGCTATAAATTTAATGTAAACAATCAGCTAAAAATGATGCAGTTATGAGACATTGTGCCATATATGAGACAAATATGAGACGCCACATTTTAATGTTTTTCACTCATATTAGAACCCACCTAATGTACTGTATGACATAATTATATTATCTAATATTTTACACAATCAAATCAATCACAATAATTAGCAGTTCTCAACTTCTCATACACTAGCAATTGTTACAGTAGTAAGTTTTTGGCATCCTTCGTGGATTTCTTATACTTGTGCATTTAAAATCAAACCATGTATCACATCCATCACAGCACACCCAAGGGTTGCTACTTTCATCATCCTTGTAAAACAGATTACAGATCGGACATTGTGTTGTGTCTTCCTCTTCGTCAGATAAAGCAAGTTCAGCAAGTCCTATACATATTGTTTCTTTCTCTGTCTTCTCTTTTTCTTGGCTTCTCTTTCCTTTTTTTTCTCTTCCTTTTGAATTTCTCTAAGCCTTTTCTTTTCTTCTCTCTCCTTTTTCCTCACTTCCTGTTCCTCAAGTTTGTTCTTCCTTTTTTTTTCTTTCTCTTTCTTCTTTTCTTCTTTCTCTCTTTTCGACACTTCTTTCTTCTGTTCCTGTTCCTTCATTTCCTCTAACATGTCAGTGATACATACAGCTCTA